GAGTGGCAACTTTTAAATAAATTTAAGCACATTATTATGCGACAAATACATATATAAAATGAACAAAAAAGCGAGGGTGCAGCTGTAATGTGATTAAATGCAAGCGGCACGAGCAACGCGCGACTGGCCCAGGCAGCTTTGATGTGATGATGTTGTCGCTTAATGTGCCTTGACGGAGACAGCGATGGTAATGGAAACGGCAACGATGACTGTGTTGTAAAGCTGCAACAGCTTAGTGTTGCAAAATCAAACACAAAAGCAAACACAAGCAGCAGAGCAGAGTCTTTTGTCAGCTGGATGCTGCGATTAAAAATTACGTTTAAGTAAATATGCAAATTAATTGGCATAAGCATTTTAACAAACTTGGACTGCGATTCATAGAGAGAAATTAAAGTAAATGCAAATGTTACCGTTGTTCCATTATACACCCGCCTTCAAATCAAATCTCACAATCGACTTATGCGATTTTTCATAATTATTACAATTAACCTATGAATAAGTGCTTTGGGCTGTAAGCCGCACATTCCAACCTTGAAAATGTATTGTAGAGGCAAATTAAAATTAAATTTTTCCATTTTCTATAGTATTTCAATATGAGAACAGTAGACTCAAGATTTTCTCTGTAACTTCATTCGATTGTATATTCGCTTTAGAAAATTTTGAAATACTATCTTCAGCCTCTTTATTACACACTTATAAATTCTGAAATACAATCAGTTAGCTTTCAGAAATTAGTATTGTGATAATTCCAATCCACCAAATTAAATATTTGAATCGAAAACGGAAATTTGCATTTCATTATTGAAGGATTTATTTCTCACTTTCCATTGATTCGCACTTATTCTCTCGAGCCTGTTTTCACTCAATAGTCCGTTCTTCGGCTTTGATGTTTAACATTTAAAAGAATTGAAAAACATTCTATATGAGAGCTTAACGTCAGAGAACTTGAAGGTCAAATAAGAAATGTTTTGTTTTAAAGATAATCCGCAACTACTTATAAATGAAGGCTTCTTTTTTTAAAATAAATTTATGTGATTGTTTTTTGATTTTCGCCTGAAAAAGGAATTCCTTAATCAGATTAAAAATATTGAACTATCCATAATCCAAAGACATCGCGAAGAATTACCGAGAATAGGCATTTCTTATGATACGAGTAGTACTGATGAAAACGTAAGGCTGATGAGATATGTTCTATTATGATAACACCGACACTGTGCAATAATGTTCAATTTGTCGCAATTCCTCCTCACATTTAAAAGGCTTCATTCAGCATGTTGCGTATACGCCGCATTGGCTGTAGCTGCAATAATATGTTAATATGCGCAATGTGACAATAACAGCCAAGAGGCAGCAACAACAGCAACATCAACAGCTTTGAAAATGTGGCCGACGATGTCAGCCATTAGCATTTTTAAGCATTTGGAGCTGTGTCGTCGCTTATGCGGCATCGACATGTTTATTGCGTTTAATGTTTGCGCGAATTTCCTTGTTTCCTCTTTTATTTTGCGCTTTCTGCTTGGATGTGTGTGTGCGTGTGCGTGTGTTTGTGATTTATGATGCTAATGACACGCAGCCAACATAAAATGTTCCTCGCTGGCAGTCACGGCTGTTGCTGCTGCTCATGACAATGAAGAAGACTGGAAAGACTTTGGCGACGGCGGCATCTTCAGTGCGTCCTCAGTGTGTCTTGCGTTGATGGTTATTAAATTATGGCAATTTGTATGCGTCGTCTTCGCCAGCGTCAATGTTCTTTCGTCGGTAGCTTTGGCTGCTGTTTATTTAAAATATGTAGCTAAACAATTTTCGTAAAATATTTCAGCGCATTGTGGGGAAAAGCCTGCGACATTGGCAATGCGCAACGGAAGCTGCAAAGATGAAGAAAATCTGCTTTTTCCGTTTGAAGTCGAAATGCAATGCACATGCCTGTCAGATATATGTATATGTATGTGCTTGGTGTTTTGCCTGTATGTGTCTGTGTGTGTGTGTGTGTGTGTGTGTGTGTGTGTGTGTGTGTGTGTGTGTGTGTGTGTGTGTGTGTGTATGTGTGCAGTAAGCCATTCGAAAAATAACTTTTCAATTTCCGCAAAACCACAGAAAATATAAACTTTGCACAAAAATTTAATAAAACTTTTCGCATAAATAAAATTTGCATTAAATCAGCTGCAAGCACCAGCATCGGCTTAGAGATGGCTACAAACATACACACTCATACATACATGCAAACGTAAGTACGACGCATGTCGAGAAACTTAATTTGAAATATTTGAGTTTGCTATTTTGGCTGTCTTTTTCTTTTTGCGCATTCGCCTGGCAATTCGCACCGAGTGGCAAACTAATCGAGAAAGTTCGAAAATTTGTAAAATGCAATTGGTTTGCGCTATGGTGTGTGTGTATGTGTGTGTGTGGCCGTCATTTGAGCTGTCATTTTTTGCGGCCTGTGCGCCTGTGTGTATGCAATCGAAAAGTTAACTAGTTAGTGTGCCAGCCAAGCTGACATGCCAAGCTTAGTGGCAAATCAAACACAGCAACAGCAACAGTAGCAGCCGCAACTTACAAGTATTCCTTATTGCTCCTATTTTCTGTGGCAGCTAACTTGTTCGGCGGCTTATCCCAAAAACTTTAATTATTTGTATGAACCGCGGAAATTAATTAATAAATTGGTTGAAATCATTATAAACTTACACATATTTCTAGAAGATAAAGGCATAGTCTTTATTCTCTCACTCGCATCAGAGTGACCCTCGTGAGCGAGTTACTAAAATACCAAGCAGGGTTAGATTAGGAAAACAGTTGACAGGGTTTCCAGAGCTGCTGCATACGTTCCTTTACTACTATATAGTACATCTATGTATGTATTTTAAATCCAATTATTATTCAAAGTGGTGGAAACTTCTTTTTCGTGCAAGATAGTTGAATTATCTGAGGACACTCTAATTAAGCAACTTCCAACTCCACAAGTAATCACAGATCAAGTCCAGTGACCCCTTAATCCTCATATCCCAACTAAGGCTGCAGAATATTGAATGAACTTGGAATTAAAACTTGTCAATATTTATTTTCAAATGTAGTCTCTATCATTAAAGCTGTCCTATCTTTCAGTAAACTCACACATACATACATATATTTAAACACATTCATATAATAATAGGCACACTTTAACGTTCTGGAGTCTAAATATTAGACTCATTCTACTGTACATACTGGCTGCTGAAGGCCATAGAAGCTAACGCTTCATTAAAAATTAAGTGCACATTCACTTTATTGTAAGCTGTACTAAATAAATAAATGAACGATTAATTTATTAATGGAGTAATTAGTGCGCCTAATTGCATTTAAAAACAACGCAATAGAACGATAGAATAAAAATGAGGTGCAAATCATCGAAGTGCGTTAAAGCCAGTTGCTCACATTGATTCAAACGATCAAAAATATTGCATAATAAATACATTTTTTAAAACACATACTAGCTTATAGTGTGTGGCAGTATTAAAATGTAGGGCGACTTCGTCATTATTTTTAAAGCTGACAATATTGACGTTGCGTATACGGCCGCATGGCTGCCTCAGCCAAAGCAGACACTAAGCGCTTGCCATAATGCCGTAACAAGTTGGCCTCGCACTCAGTGACTCTTTTACTCTACCGCTACCCCTATCCTTAGAGTAGGGGAGGAAAGGATTCTCAGCTTAAACATTTGAATGACAGCTGGAGGCTTTGGGTGGTTTTAGTTGTGGGCGTCGCGTCTAAGTGTCAAGGATTATGTTGTATTTGCACACGCCTGACTAACACCGCACAAACACATACAAGTACGGGAATACACATATATACAGATACATATATACTCAGATATGTACAGAAGTGGGGTTGTGCAGTTGCCATCTGTCGCAGCTGTTAGGATTGACAAAAATGTCGCGCGCACATCTCGACACATTAAGGAATTCAATTAATAATTTTCAACATTTGCCGCTTAATTGACTTTGGGAGCACCTTTGGCTTTTACATGAGGCCAAGTGACTTCGACATTGATTTTGTGTGTGTGATTTTGATTTTGATTTGGTTTTAGCTTGGCTTTGCTGCGTCTGTCTGCTTGCCGAGCTAAGCTGCTTGCGCATTTTTTCTGCTTCGTTGGCTGACACGCTCTTCGAGCGTTGGGCGCTGAGCGTTGAGCGTCTTTGATGCTGTCTGTCCTTCTGCGCTTGGCTCATGGCTTTGTCGAATTTTCTACCTATTAAACACATGAAATTCAATCACAGCACACATACACCCACACACACATGAGTACATAAAGAGCCTGCAGGCAGTCAGTTTGAACTGCCATAAAACTTGGCAGTGGCTTGAATGGCACAGCTAAAGTTACATGCCGCCCTCTCTAAGATATTTAGACCCTTATCACTTGCGGTTTAAACGTATTGAATATGATGTGTAAATGTTTACATGTTTGCCTTTGCCCTGCCGTGAGATTTGTTGCATGTGCTTCCTGCCAGCCAGCAGCTGCCCGTGTGTGCGTAAAAAGTTATCTACGTGCGTGACTGACTGTCTTCAACCTTCAGCCTTCAGCCACCAGTCCCCAACGCACATCCTTTGATATCTGAGTGCGTTCAAGAGTAAGAAAATAAAATCCAATCCACACAGCTTCGCTAAAATGTGCTTTAAATTTTAAAAATCTTCGCGCTTCGTTGAACTTTCCTGACGGAGTGAGAAAAGTTTTGCAGAAATAATGCTACAGGTTCTCTCTTGATATGCTTAGTGAGCGGTTTTGTCAACTTGCCGCCAACATTGTCTGCCTATTTGTCTTTCATTTTAATTAAGAATTCAAAGCCGTCATGCCAAACTAACAACTAACAGCTTGTCAGCCAGCATCATCAGTTTTCTGAATTGGTGCTGACATCTTTATTTACATTTAAAATCAAGGCTTCAATGCCAGCTTGACATCGTTTGATGTTCGTGCGAGCTTAAGGATGCTTAAATCAGTTATTTGTGCAATTGTTGTTACATTTACTCACCGATTTCTTGACAAAGCTGACAAAACCATAGCCTTTTGATTTCAGCGTCTGCGGATCGCGCACAACTCTGCAGTCTCTGTAAAGAATGAATCAAATTTAAAAAGTAGTTAGAAAAGGTTGAATAAGTATCAGCAAACAAAAAAACTAATTTTATTTTCATATGAATTTTATACCAACTTGCAGCTGCTCTATTCTTAATACTAAGATGATTTTAAAATGTAGGTCTTATTTGAGTTTGGTCTATGACAAATTAAAAGTGAAGTTCAGATAAGTAGTAGCAAGGATAAAAGCTACAATCTAAGTCAATCTAAAAGTCCTTGGCCAGTTCGCTATGAAATCCAATAGAATTACATGCTACAAAAAATATGAAGCGTATAAAAAATGTTGAGAAAAGGATTTCAGCAAATGGAAGTGCTATGTCCAACTATGTATGCGCATTTGCTCGTAGATAGTGGCAGAAAAGTAAAAGCTTTGTGAGAGAGTAGCTGCTAGCTCCTTAAGGATTGAGCCGACATCGCCAAGCCATCAAGACGTGTAGCACATACAAGCAAGCAATGGCGGCGGTTCATTGGGCAGGGAGGGGCCTTAACTGCGGTTGGCGAGGCGTTCGTGTAAAAAGGATTTAAGCTGCTAAAAACCACCAGAATGCGAGACCACGTGTAGATGTGGGCACATACTCCAAATACACTGAGATAATTATTGAATGCCAATCAATATTGAACAAGAAAATAGTTAGTTGTTTGTTCTTTCTTTTAGAAAATTAGTTAATTAGGTAGCTCTTACAAGGTTCATTAACTAAGCAACTAGTTAGCCTTTCATCAGGTAACAAATTTTCAATATCATGTCTGTTTTTGAAAGAAAATACTATTTCATAAGCTATTATTTGTCATTTTCTTTTATTAAGTAAACATTGTAGTTCTGCATAATATTTTTAAATTGTTTCATTAAAGTGCAATGTAATACCACTATATAATAACAAAAATTAATACAAATGTTGAACTTAATCATTCAACTCTGACTGCAACGAAAGCTGGCTTTGTGCGCTGATTTTTCCAAAAATTACTACGCTATTGATTTAAAATGAGGAATTTTACAAAAAAAAGCAGCATAGTTTAGAGAGTTGCTAGAATTAAACAGAAGAGTTTCAATAATTACATAATTCTGGATAATAGGGAGAGCATTTTCCTGAATTAAATTGTTTAAACATTACCCGTTTTGTTGTGCATGAATGTTATCATGTTATATTATTTCATAATGGTTATATAATGGTTTTTAATAAATAACAAGCTGTGTCCAATACTTATAGATATCTTCTTCATATTATAGCATCTTAAACTTCTTGGATTAGTTTAATATTATGTATTTTTTTAAGTGCTTATGCATACATGAACAACATAGGTTTAAAAAAATATATATAAGTCTGTGCTAAGCCACGAAGAAATATTTTGAAGTTGGCGGCCAAACCGCAGCAGGCAGCAAACATGGCCCGCATATGGGGCGAGCCATTTTAAAAATGTAAAAAAAAGAAATGGAAGGAAAATGAAAAAAGGCAACCTGATTGTAAATCACGATAAAAGTCAATTTTTAATATGAGTTTTAGTTGAGCCCCATGTAAAGTCGAATAGTGGAGTAAGCTAGTCGGGCGAGTAGGGAGAGCGGGTCGAGCGGATGAAGTGGGTCGAGCGAGTCGATTGTGGCGAGCCAAACAAAAATTATTTTAATGGCTTCTGGCGAGAGACTGCGCGTTCTCTTCAAGGCTGCAATTTATGGCGCTGACCAAAAGTGAAATTGCATTTGGGGTGTATGTCCGTGTGTGTGTGTGTGTGTGTGTGTGTGCTCGAACATTTTGGGCTTTGCAATCGATACGCACATAAATATTGAAAAAGCATATTTAATTAAACTTGAATATTTATTAGCTACCAAAGGAATTTCGTTGCAATTGCTTTGGGGCGTCGGCGCGTTTGCCTCCTTGGTTGTTGTAGCTATAGTTGTTGTTGTTGTTTTTTTGCTGTTGTAACTTCTATAGCTGTTATGCATTGAATTGGCTGGCGAACTGGCTGGCTGCTATGTTGGCTGGTTGGCTGGTTGGCTGGCGGGTTACCTTGCAGCAAGCGGCACGCAAACAAATAACAACAACATCATCAAACACGAAAGGCAGGCAAACAAGCCAAACAGAGCAGCGCACAGACACAGACTTACACACACACACACACACACTTATGCACACATGCCTGACAGCAGTGCACACAAATAATGCAGCGCCCTCTGTCGACTTGATTGTGCTAACAAATTAAAGGCCATGCAAACGTATGCACGCCAGTTCTCTGGCTCTGTCTGTGTAGAATTATTTGTAGTGTGTCTGTGTGTGCGTGTGTGTGTGTGCATAAATGTGGTAAAGGTGTGCGTGCATTGCATGTTCGTTTCCCAACCAACACACCTTTGCAGAAACAGCAACAGCAACAGCAACAATAACAGCCTGCAGCTCTATCATATTTCACAATCGATAAACATCAGTTCATATTTTCATTGCGTTTTTGTTTGAATATTTCAACATGCAGCCGAAGCACAGCAACAGCAACAGCAACAACAACAACAAGCACAGCAGCAATAGCAACAACAACAAAAAGCAAAGCAATGACAAAAAAACCACAACGAGCATTTACTGCGCTCATATGTATATCTACATACATACAAGTACGTAGATCTGTTTATATGCACACATGTGCGCTACACTATACTTCGACAGTATTTTAACAAATTAAAAAAATTGCCTTGAACTACATACATTTAAATTTTAATTGTGCTCTAATTATAAATTGATATTAAGTCATTATGTAAGGATTGTCTAAATAAAAAAACGTGTTCTCATTAAATAATCCCTTTTTTGCATACCATTTGTTCTAAATAAGTTTTAAAAAATTAAATTATTAAATAATAGTATAAAAGGCCATTCCAGAATAGTATTGTTCGAAATACTTTGGGGATCTAAAAAAAACATTGTCATATGTACATCCTATCCAGATAGAATTACTTCGAACGTAATGAAATAAATCTTAATAAATTAACAAGGATTCTGAAAGTTATATCCAAATTACAGGGTCACTTTTATATCAGAAAATACCATGTAAATTTGTAGGAAATGTAAAATTAACAAAACAGGTCCCATGTTGCATCAAATTTCGAACAGGCGGAGCAAGCTTGCAGCTTTTAGTTAAAGACAATGTATGTTTGTATGTATGTATGTTTTCAATTTTCGCCTGAATGATGGGAAATACCCAAATAATAATAATCCTTTTAGAGCTGAACTTCCACTTTCCACTTAAGCCAGCTGGTAGCTTTAAGTAAAAACCACTGTTTTAAGTAAATAAATAAATAATTAAAATTCTCTAGCTCTTAAGATTTAAACTCAATTCTTTTTCTTTAATTAAAAAAAAGGGTTTCAAATATAAACTGTTTTCCGCCGGATTAGCGAGTCGTTAAAGCTGTTAGCGTAGTTCAAACTAACAATACAACTCACGAGTAACTTCTTTGATTGCTTCAATTGCTGATCTATAGTTATGTAGGATTGCAAACAGCAGGACGTTCGAGAATGCTTAACAAATTGCGGCAATCCACTGCATGTGACATAATATGCTTTCTATTTTTTCTTTAACATACCAGTATGAATAACGCTTGTTTTAATTGGAAACTAGTCAATGCAAACGTTCGCTAGTGTATATAAGCTTGAGTGTGTGCTTTGGAAGCCTGCAGAGCATCGCGCTTCAATAATATATTTGAACACTAAACATAAAACAAATATAACCTTTGGCTTAGGGGCAACAAAAAAAAAAAAAAAAAAAAAAAACAGCATTGACTCTCAAGTACCAATATGAGAACTTGCTGAACTTCCACATAACAGCTCCCAGCTCCCTCGGCATCCCAATCGCCGAACCTTGCCTTACAACCACTTCGCTTCAATGACTCTCAAACTGTTGCCATAGTTGTTATCATGCACGAAAAACTCAAAAATTTGACTACGAGCAACGCACATGGCAGAGACTGTGGCAATTTATGCGCTGACGTTTACTTATGCAGAGTGGCAGCCGAGCGATGGCCGGGCAAGGAAGCAGGGCAGGAGTAGGAAGTGATGTGGATGGCAGGGGGGGGAGAGGGGTATTGCGGGGATTTCAGCTTGTGCAGGCAGCTGCGCGTTGTTTGCCCAAAGAATTGAGCGAAGCTGTTGAGGGCGGTAAAGAAAACGCATACCAACTTGCATGTTTTATTGAAAGGATAAATTTATGTGCATAAGCGGTATGTGTGTTGTGCATGTGTGTGTGTGTGTGTGTAAGTGTGTATGGGAGCTAAGTGGGAAATATGCTTGCTCGTTGCTTCCCCTCCTCCCTCTTGCAGTTCAACCCAATCAATATCTTTTTTACAAATATTGGCAAAAGTTTTGCCTTGCTGGTGAAATAAATTTAAAAAATATTTTGCTATCTTAAGTGCATAAAACTATAAACGTTAAACAAAATATATCAAGCACTCACACAAACATGCACACACACACACATAGACACGCAAATGCGGTTATTTATACATATTTTGGCTTTATTCCCATGCATTGGCTCGAAGCATTGGCTTTAGCTTCGAGTAGCTTTTTTGGCTGACTCACTGGCGCATTGAGCGCATTAGTTGGGCGGCGATATTTTGGCTTTTACAATTGGTTTATGCTAACAATACCCTCACATGTGCTTGGTGCTCTTCATGTTGTTGGTGCTTGTGTATTGTGCGGTGGAAATGCTTTGTATTTGAATTAAAATTGCATAGATGATTTATAGATACAGAGATAGTTATGGCTGCTGGTCTAGTTTTTCTCTCTTGGTTTTTGTTTTGTTCTTTGTGACGCTGGAAAACTGAATAAGCATGGAACGTATGTATTCATGAGGTATTTAGGAGATTTAGAAAACGGAGAAAGTGAATTCACAAAAGCTTTTCTGCCTTTTCTGCTGAATAGTACTTGGGTTATTTATTAAGACATTAGCGGAGATTTCGTAAGGTTTATATTATTTCATTAACAAATATTGCTAACGTAAATGGCTT